CGGTAGTATATTGTTGATTTAGATTCGACGACATCCTGAAGCTAGTAGGTGGCGGCCTCATCGCTCTCGAACTTCTTGTTGTTGTAGGGGATACGAGGCACACCCAATATCCCCCTTACATTGATCACATCGCACACTAATATTTTTACTATTTCGGACACCAGATTTGTCTGTTTCGTATATGTATAATTGTTCAATATTAAAACCACAATAGAATGCTCTAAGTACTTTCGTATATTAATACATCTTCAGAAGGAATGGTTCGCTCTGAACATGTATTAATATAAGAAAGTACTAAAGGAAATTCCTGTTTCAATTCTTCCTCCGTGGTCTGACACTCTTATTATATATTGTATATACTGAATTATATATACTATGCTTATATAATATATACTGAAATATTGTTACATTTAACGTATGAAACAAAGTATATATCTGTATTTTTAATAAAATATAAAACATTAATATTTATCAACGTATCTCTGTGAATTACATAATTTATCAGTATTGTACAGCCTGTGATCTCCACTTGGCTGGCCACTGATACCTAAGTAGCTTTCATGTGTCCGGACACCGGCGATAGGATTGTATTATTTAACTTTAAAGAGAGAGATATTTCTTGAAATGTTGTCACATTAACGTCTACATCTTCCTTCCTTCTGACATATAGATTTTAAGGTTAATTAGCATATATGGAAATAAATTACACAATTTATAGGCTGGTGTGAAGGGCTTCACACTCTTAGAGCAAGCCATCAAGAAACTGTACAGTATCAAATGCATATATCTTCGCTTTCACTTCAGTTATATTTATGACAAGTATTTAAAGTGTAGCTTATATTTCTGCCTTTCTGTTGACATAGAAAACTTTCGTTTATTACATTATCTAGATAAAATTAGCATTGATCTTCAAAAGGTTGTAGTTGTAACTTCCATTATAAACAATTTTTTTTTTTTTTTTTTTTTTTTAAATATATACAAGAGTTGTTACATTCTTGTAGAGCCACTAGTACGCGTAGCGTTCCGGGCAGGTCCCTGGAATACGATCCCCGCCGCGAAGAATCCTTGTTACAACCAAGTACACATTTTACTGTTGCGTTAAACAGAGGCTGCAGTTAAGGAATTGCGCCCAGGAAATCCTCCCCGGCCAGGATACGAACCCATGACAAAGGAGCGCTCGCGGAACGCCAGGCGAGTGTCTTACCACTACACCACGGAGACTGTAAACATTATTATTGCAAACAGTAGGAGTTTCAAAGTCTCATTTGTATGGATACCTTCTCATATAGGTGTTGTCCAGCATGATGACACAAACAAGGCAGCTAAAACTGAATGTGATAAGCCTGAAGTTGAGTGGGATATGGGCATTCCAATCTCTTCTGTCAAAGCCGCAATATTTTAGGAAATTAGGGAAGACAGAAGAGCAGTCACTGACACACAAAAGCCAGAAAGCAAGAGTATAAAGAGCTATGACATGTTTATGTGCCTCTGTAACCTTTTCCACTACCGCCCACAAGATGATATATGGGGTGCATAATTAATGAACTAAACTAAGTAAACATGTTTAGAATCGAGAATTATATGAACGGACAGCATAAAACTTCCACTAGTGTCACAATGACAGTGTGACATTGTAATTGCCAGAATTAGGCTAGGATATCGATATGTATCGCAGGTGGCTGCAGGTAATGAATAGCCCCAATGGTGAATATTCCAATTGTAAACTATGTGAACAAGAGCTGGGACATACTCACCAACACTATATCTGTGATTGCCCTGTTATAAGTGACTTCAGACCAAATGGTATAAGGTACTTTGAACTCTGTAATTACTTCATACACTTAGGAATATTGGAAGATATTCTTATGCTGTACCCGGATTTTGCTAACGGAGGCTAATAGATCAGCCTTATATTTTATGTTCTCACCTGATTGTTACCTTGAGGTAGGCCCGTAAGTGGTAGTCCTCTTGAACCATTAACAGTATCAATAGATGATACTGGAGATCTGTGGAGGTGCGACTGGACCCTGCGTGACGGGAGATGTATCCCTTGTTTCTTGTGATTGATTGATGAGGATTAAGCCACCCAAAAGGTAGCACGGGCATGAATAGCCCGTAAGTGGTGTTCTTGTTAGTCACAGTTGATTTTTTTTTATTGAGGCTGGTATTTTATCCCCTGATTCCATGTATAACTAACCATCCTGTGAGATGGGAATATTTAATGAACTTATAGCTAGTTTTTGATATACACTGTAATCTTTCATATAGAATAGGGTAGCAGCACATTACTGTGTATACCTAAGCTTGTTAATAATAACAAAAAAAAAAAGTTAGTTTCTATCAATAGGGAGAGCGATGGTTCAAAAATCCTTCTTTAAAATATGAATATCTTTCCTATCTCACTAAGATCTAATCTCTGTGATTAAAATGCAAAATTGACTTTGTCACTGCCTTTTTGATAACGTATACAATCATAAGCTTATTTGTGAATCTCTATTAAACAGTAAATCAGAGAGCGTGTAAGGTTCCGTGTTCCATGTCCGAAGAAACAGGGAGATTTTACATAAATACAGTATATGATAGTTTAAGTAGCGAACGCATACCAACAAATAACGATTAGTATCTATAACAAAAATATTGTTCTATGGAGTTGATTTAACTTCCAACCATGTATTTTTAAATAATCTTTAACGTTTTCTGGCTAGTTATGTTAGATTTGATTAAAAATACGCATTCTACTTGTTAATATCGTTAGATCTGATTAAAAATACGCATTCTACTTGTTAACATCATAAATTAAATTTGCGATAATTTGAGCAGAGAAGTTCGACGACTGGATCACTGTGTACAGAAGGTTGATATGCCAGCAAACACTTTCCAGAGAGCAATATATCTTGGATAAGTCGCTCCACGATATTGTTGCTTGGACCATCGACTTCCTTTGATATTACATATTTACATCTTATTTTGTTATGAAATGATATTTTTTCAGAGTAAAATTATGTTTTCTCATTTTGTGCATCCAGCATCCACATTATAGTGAGTAAATATATCATATTACTTCATTGCTTACGTAATGCTAGGAAGGTTTGAGTAGCTTTGGGTCTTTAGTGGACAGAATCTCCAATAGATGGGGCAAGAGTCGCCCCATCTCTCTCGACCGGGCGGGACTCGAAACTTAAATTAAAATTGCTATATCATTGGTCTCCAACATGATATATTTCCTTTGATGCACTCACAATAACGATTATAGCTCTGTCTTTCTGGAGGCATGTAATATTTTAGGCTTTATTAGCGTATCTTTGTTAATTACACAACATATTGGCAAGTGCTAGGCTTCTGCACTTTATGACCGAAAAGCTACTGAACGCCACTATAAAAACATATATATCTTCACTTGAGCTTTAAATATGTCTAATGTAATGTATTTAAAATAAAGCTTATATTTCTATCTTTCTTAAGACGTGTAAAACATTTGTGTTTATTAACGAATTTACGTAAAATAAACATTCTTCTGAGAGAGTTGCTCTGTCGCTCAGTCTATGCGGGGGTCGGAGCTCGGCGATTATTAAAATACATGAATCTTCATTAGAACTTTAATTATGTCTATGATAAAGTGTTTAAAATGAGCCTTATATTCCTATCTTTCTTGAGGCATATAAAAAATTTACGATTATTTACAAATTTACGTGAAATAAGCATTGTTCTGAGAGAGAGTTGCTCCGTCGATCGATCTGTCCGGAGTCGGAGCTCGGCTATTATAAAAGTACACGTATCTTCGCTTTAAATTTAAATATGCCCATGGTAAGGTATTTAGAACGAAGCTTATATATCTGTCTTTCTTGTGACATATAAAACTCTTACGTTTATTAAGGAATCTGCATGAAATAGGCATGGTTCTGAGATGAATGCTGCGGTTTTCGAGTTTGACGAGTGATGAAAACTGCCACTTTTATACAACTACAAATATCTTCGGTTTTGCTTAAAATATTTGTCTGGTAGAGGTTTTACATATAGATCGCGTTTCTGTCTTTCTTCTGACTAATAAATAATTTTGGTTTAATCAGTTATCAAGATGTTTTCAACAATATTCTTTCAGCGTTCGTCTTTTCCAACTTGGGCGACCCTTTTGGAAGCGCGATACTTGGGTTAACCCATCCTATAGTTGGGTCTGTTTCCAACTGGGGTTCGAATATCGGTAAGGAGAGCGTCAGCCATGAAGCCTTGTTTAAAGTATGAATATTTTTCCTCTCTAATAAGGTATAATCTCTGTGATGGATTCACAAAAACTATTTTATATCTGCCTTTCTGATAACATATACAAATATAATCTTTATTTGTGAATATTTGTTAATTAAGCAATATATCAGAGGGCGTGTAGGGTTCGGTGTTCAATGAACGAAAAGGACTGGATCACTGTGTACAGAAGGCTGATATGGCAGCAAACACTCTCCTGGCGACCATATATCTTGGATAAGTCGCTCCACACAATTGTCGCTTGGACCGTCGACTTCCTATGGCGTCACCTCTGACATATTTACGTCTAATTTCGTTATGAAATTAGATTATTTCAGAGTAAAAATAGGTTTGATCATGTTCTATGTTCTATGTTGATCATGTTCTTGGACCAAATCGACCCAAATCGACCCAAAAGTACCCAAATCGTCCTAGCATTACGTAAGTAATGAAGAAATATGGTATATTTACTTACTAAAATGTTGGTGCTACACGTAGAACATGATCAAACCTATTTTTACTCTGAAATAATCTAATTTCATAACGAAATTAGACGTAAATATGTCAGAGGTGACGCCATAGGAAGTCGACGGTCCAAGCGACAATTGTGTGGAGCGACTTATCCAAGATATATGGTCGCCAGGAGTGTTTAGGTTGGAGTAGGAGTGGGTTACTGGAGATGAGAAATAGAGCAGGAGTGGGCTTCATCTTAAATGTGAGGTATTAAACATAGTGGTTAAATGCTTTGTGAATTAAAGCCTGCATTTGTGTTTCATTTTATTTGGTTTATAAATACAAATGTGATATATTTGGTCTGTCAGTAAAATTGTGATGGCAGCAGTTTGGCATCCACATCTGAATTCTTTATAGCAAATATCTGGCTGCCATCTTAACATTCAAACCACTGACTCAGACATCACAGTACTTCCATAGGAGATACAGAAAATGGGATGACTCAAATAGGCACACATCATTCACACTCACCAGGGTCTTGCATCAACCACATATATTGATCTTTGTCAAAACAAACCTCAACTTGAATAACATGAAAACCAGTTCAACATGCATTCAAAACTTTTTATTAGAAGTCTTCAGAAGCCACCAACCTTACTCCAATTGCCATGTATTAACTGAAATTCTACTTGTCCACTTGATTTGCACTTTTAAATAGAAAAACTATTTCCTAAATCTATCCTATCCTGATTGACCAATGAAAATCAATATACAGTATTATAAATTCGGGCACCATTTGTCAGTTCTTGTAGTCTATATCATACAACTTTTTATGGTGCATGCATAAACTACAAAAGATATTGCTGCCACTTACCATTTCTATAATTGCATAAATAAAATAAAGTGGTTTTTAACACTTAATATAGAATCTTGCATATATTTGGCTGCCGCACGAGTGAAACAGTTGTTATTTACAACAAAGAATTGGCATGAAAAAACAGGCTGACTGAACTTGTATAAAAAAAAAATTATTATAGTAACTTGGAGACTGTGAAGGTGAAGGAATTCTGGTAACTCTGAGAATGGTGTTACAAATGGAACAATATTTAGGAAAAAAAAATGTTTCCTCTTAGTAAGGTGTTTAGGTATGACAGTTCAACTGTTCATTCAGCAAAGTGTTGATTATAGTAATTTTAATGTAGTTATTGCTTCAGCAATATCTCCATTACTTGGTCTGGTACTTCAGACCAAGTAATGGAGCCGTGGTGGCCCGAGACCAAGCACTGGAGCCGTGGTGGCCCGAGACCAAGCGCTGGAGCCATGGTGGCCCGAGACCAAGCACTGGAGCCGTGGTGGCCCGAGACCAAGCGCTGGAGCCGTGGTGGCCCGAGACCAAGCACTGGAGCCGTGGTGGCCCGAGACCAAGCGCTGGAGCTGTGGTGGCCCCAGACCAAGCACTGGAGCCGTGGTGGCCCAAGACCAAGCACTGGAACCGTGGTGGCCCGAGACCAAGCGCTGGAGCCGTGGTGGCCCGAGACCAAGCACTGGAGCCGTGGTGGCCCGAGACCAAGCACTGGAGCCGTGGTGGCCCGAGACCAAGCACTGGAGCCGTGGTGGCCCGAGACCAAGCGCTGGAGCCGTGGTGGCCTGAGACCAAGCGCTGGAGCCGTGGTGGCCCGAGACCAAGCGCTGGAGCCATGGTGGCCCGAGACCAAGCACTGGAGCCGTGGTGGCCCGAGACCAAGCACAGGAACCATGGTGGCCCGAGACCAAGCGCTGGAGCCGTGGTGGCCCGAGACCAAGCACTGGAACCATGGTGGCCCGAGACCAAGCACTGGAGCCATGGTGGCCCCAGACCAAGCACTGGAACCATGGTGGCCCCAGACCAAGCACTGGAGCCATGGTGGCCCCAGACCAAGCACTGGAACCATGGTGGCCCGAGACCAAGCACTGGAACCATGGTGGCCCCAGACCAAGCACTGGAGCCGTGGTGGCCGGAGACCAAGCACTGGAGCCGTGGTGGCCCGAGACCAAGCACTGGAGCCGTGGTGGCCCCAGACCAAGCACTGGAGCCGTGGTGGCCCCAGACCAAGCACTGGAGCCGTGGTGGCCCCAGACCAAGCGCTGGAGCCGTGGTGGCCCGAGACCAAGCGCTGGAGCCGCGGTGGCCCGAGACCAAGCGCTGGAGCCATGGTGGCTCGAGACCAAACGCTGGAGCCGTGGTGGCCCGAGACCATGCACTGGAACCATGGTGGCCCGAGACCAAGCACTGGAGCTGTGGTGGCCCGAGACCAAGCACTGGAGCCGTGGTGGCCCCAGACCAAGCGCTGGAGCCATGGTGGCCCGAGACCAAGCACTGGAGCCATGGTGGCCCGAGACCAAGCGCTGGAGCCATGGTGGCCCGAGACCAAGCGCTGGAGCCGTGGTGGCCGGAGATCAAGCGCTGGAGCCGTGGTGGCTCGAGACCAAGTACTGGAACCATGGTGGCCCGAGACCAAGCACTGGAGCCGTGGTGGCCCGAGACCAAGCGCTGGAGCCGTGGTGGCCCGAGACCAAGCGCTGGAGCCGGGGTGGCCCGAGACCAAGCACTGGAGCCGTGGTGGCTCGAGACCAAGTACTGGAACCATGGTGGCCCGAGACCAAGCACTGGAGCCGTGGTGGCCCGAGACCAAGCGCTGGAGCCGGGGTGGCCCGAGACCAAGTGCTGGAGCCGTGGTGGCCCGAGACCAAGCACTGGAGCCGTGGTGGCCCGAGACCAAGTGCTGGAGCCGTGGTGGCCCGAGACCAAGCGCTGGAGCCGTGGTGGCCCGAGACCAAGCGCTGGAGCCGTGGTGGCCCGAGACCAAGCGCTGGAGCCGGGGTGGCTATCCAGTGCAGCATTTTTAATGATGTCAATAAAGAAGTTGCCAAAATTACAAAAATTTAAAATTACAATACAACAAATTTCTTAGAAATCAAACTACAGTACTGACATTTGCAGGTGTCTGAAATAATAAGATACAATGATCTGTGCTAAGTCTGACACTATAAAAGTATATACAAAATATAAATAATAATATAAAATGTGCTTTTTTGTGTAATTAGGACAGGATACATTAAGGATATACTTTTTGTGCATTAAGGATATTTCATATAGAGAAGTGTTGGCTGGTTAACAAATGTTGTTAGATTGTACCTTTTGCCATTATATTCTCAGGAGAGAAATCACCTTTCTTAAAGGACAAATATTAGAATATTTACTGAATTCCTTATCTACACAAAAAAATATTTCTTTGTTTTATTTGGAGTGTTTTCAGAATCTTTTCAAGTGCTGTTTAAAAATACTGCCTCCAAAGATCTCCATGTGGTCTATAATAGGAATATACCTGACTAGTGAGATCTTTTACATTATGCTACAACCATCACAAGCATCCACACTAGTAGCTGGATTTCCCATGAGGATGAAATTCTTTGGCAGAGCTAAAACATGAATACTGTATGAGACACATCTCTCAAGCAAATATTCACAAAGTTCTATTAATGTCTGTAAAAGACACCTGTGATGGAAAGAGGTTTTAATCTACAAAATGATATATCTAAATATAATACAAGATTTTAAATTTCAATTTGATATCCATGATTGTGTTACTTTGGTGGGAGAAGTTTTTGAATATGGAGTAAAGCCAATCTGAGGTTTGTTTGTTCTGCCATTCTTGCTGACAGAATTGTGAATTATTGGTAGTGGCACTAAACCATTTTGGCTTGTTGTGGTTGGGGACACAAGAGCTACAGATGGTTGTGGAAGTCCTGTTACATTACAAGGCTGAGAATAATTCACTGTTTTAGAGGATTTTTTGTTTGCATTTGTAGTGGTATTGGTATTTGGCCCACTGAGTTGAAGGGGTTTGAAAATGTGTTTAGGAAGATTTGTGGGTATTCCATTATATTTTATTGGAGAACTGTTGGTTGTCTCAACCGAGACATGTTTGTGGCTCTTGCTAGAGTGCCGATTACTGGAGGAATTTTTATTGTTTCCATGAGGTATCGATATTCTGTTGTTTGGTTTTGAGGCATTTGCACTCGATACAACACTTTTTGTATCTTTAACGTTGTCTTTAGTGGTTAAATGAGAATAATATACTCCATCTTTACCTTCCAAAGAGAGAGCAATGTTTGTACTACCAAGAAAGGGAGAAGCCAGTCCAGCCCAAGACATAACAGATGCAGTTGGCACAAGTGACTGTAAACTCCTGTTTATAACAGCAGTAACTGGGTGACCAGCCACCAGGGTTGGTGCGGTGGTGGTGAGAGGGATGGGATGACACAGTCCTGGGGTAGTGCTAGTGGCAGTGGTGGCTGTGTTAGTTGTACAGTTCCCTGTGGACAATGTGTAGGTACCAGTAGTTACACCCAGCTGAGTAGCTGCCAAAGGAGCTCCCACAGAGAGTGATGTGCCATTAGACATTGTGGTGTGAGAACTTCCTATTGGAGCAGAGGCAGTTGTGGTGGTGGCAGTGGAAGAGTGATTTGTGCTGCTTGCTATGAGGGACGTAACTGCTGCCAAGTGGTGATGTAGGGTTGATCGATGAGCCTCTAACTGTGCACGGGATGCAACAAGTTGAGCTACTTGTTCCTGCACTAGCTGAGCAGTTTGACAAACAGCCAGCTGACTTCTCCTAACCTCTTCTATGTGCTCTAAGAGAGCAGAGTTGTTGCTGCCTCCTTGAGCTGTGAAAATTAATTTTGTATTGGAATATTGAAACATTTAAAATATAATTTGACAACATTAACACGGGAAGTCTTGCAAATTCTTGGAGTAACAATTATTATAATTCATGATGAACTGAAAACTAAATTTGAAGTAAATGATAGATCTGAAAAACAAGATGAAGATAATGTTCTTATAAACTCTCAATCCTAAACTGTCATTTTACAGCTGTGCCATTGTAGGTAAACAAAACAGATGCTCGACTCAAGTGATATTTTTCTTAATACATACCTTGTGCGTTTTTTATGAAATGTTCAATGACAGTATCTACCCCGTGTAGGCTTGCCATGAGTGGGTCATCTTCTGGTGGTAATGAGGACATAATAATGGCATCTTTGATGGGAGCTTTGCTGCTGCCTCTGCTCATCACCAACTGCACAATCAAAATGTAAAGTTAGGAAAATACAAAATTTCATTTTGGTATTTTATGTTTAGTAATTAAAATGATCTCTGCTGTGTGAACTAAATAGCAAATTTTTCCATTAAATGTAAGAAAATGAATTACATACAGAAGATATGTGGCTTAGAGGACAAGTGAACCAGCAATTAAACAAAAAATAGGATATAACAAAATTGAAGAAAATGTGGAATAAAATTTTACTTAAAATTACAGTACCGAATAAAATTTCCACCTTGAATGGATAATACAACACTCACTTTTGTATTTAAGCTGCTAACGGTATTATGACCAGTTGTTGCTACAGCGACAGGCATGGTGGTTACCATCAATGGTGTGGATGTTGCTACTGTTGCTGTTGTAGGTGCTGTCGTAGTTGTTGACATCGCTCTAGTGCTAGATATTGAAGAACTGGTAGTGGTAGTAGTAGTAGTAGCAGTGGTGGTGGAGGTGGTGGCAGTGGTCAATGGAGCCACAGTAGTGGAAGTAGTGGTAGTGGAGGTAGTAGTAGTTGTTGTAGCTGCAGTAGCAGCAGTAGTGGTGGTGGTGGTAGTGGTACCCACTGCTGTTGTGGCTGCGGCTGTAGTAACAACAGTGGTTGGGGGTTGAGAAACTGAAGTGAGAGATGCTGCTGAAGCAACCTTGAGCAAGGGAACCGAGAGAGAGTTATTGGGAGGTGTTGGAGATTGATGGTTTATATTGGCTGCCAGCAGCTGCTCTAGGGCCTCACACACACGCACTGCCAGTGGATCTGAACTCTCCTGGCGGTAACGGCGCAGTCGCTCCTGCACAACTAGTTGCCATACTGCTTCTACTTCTGTCAGTGTAAAAAATATCACATTTTATTAGAAGAGAAAAGTTTTTATTTAGAGTAAAGAATAAAATAAATTTTCTCTTTTTAGAAAAAACTACCATTTAATGTAATAAAATGCCTCTTTCTGGAGGGTGGCCTCAGTGGCTCCCTGTTGCTAGTTGCACCGAGATAGTTCCACATATGACAAAGAGTGCTGGGGAGATGGGACACCACGAGCATAGCTCTCATCCTGTAACTACACTTAGGTAATTACACACAACTGTCATATTCCATCACCAAAGTTGGAATATGTAGTGGTTGTATGGTGCCCATATCTTAACACTTTCGCGCTCCGTGGAAACTCGCGGTTGACAGGGGGATCGTGGCCCCTCCGTGCGGGTAAGCGCGCGGTGACACTCAAATGTGTATACTCGTTCCAGTTTTCTCACCTTAATTCTCGCGCTACGTCGCTCATTCTGGTATCATTGTGTTCGCAATTAAATTCTCTACAGGTGTGTATAAATATAATGTCCAAAAGCCTAGCGTGACTCCCAACAGCAAAGCGTAAAGTCGGCAAAAACGCACAAAATCAGTAACATGTGCATTCTCGTTCCATTTTTTTACCTTAATTCTCGTGCTACGTCGCTCATTTTGGTATCATTGTGTTCGCAATTAAATTCCCTACAGATGTGTATGAATAAAATGTACAAAAGGCTGGAGTGCCTCCCCGCAGAAAAGCCTAAAGTTACCCATGAACGAGCACCATTTTGTACATTGCAACCTAATGTTCAACTCGTTCAATTTGATAACATCAAATTTCGTGCAACGTCGCTCGTTTTGGTATCAAATTGTTCGCAATAAAAAGGCGATTATTTTAAAACTAGTCCCAGAATAATAGAGCAATAACTGGATTTTTAACAAATATTTTAATTCTGGACGCTAATCATCACAAATTTATTTATATCTTTCCAGTGTTCTGACATAAATATTTGTGTTACATCTTTCATTTTGGTATCAAATTGTTCGCAATAAAAAGGCGCACATTTTAAAACAAGTCCCAAGATAATAGGACAATAAATAGAATTTTAACAAATATTTTAATATTCAGACCATAGACCTATTTATAATATTTCAAGTGTTTGGACATCAAGTTTCATGTTATATCTTTGATTTTGGTGTCAAATTGTGTGCAATCTAAAGGCGCTTATTTTAAAACCACTACCAGATTGATCTGATAAAATTTAAATTTTTAAAAAATATTGTAATGAGTGACTCAGTATTGCGTCGTTGGAACACATTCAGTAGAAAAATAAATGACGAATTATTCAGTCTGTGGAACGCGAAAGTGTTAAGAAGCACATCAACAAACTAGAAAAGGTGCAAAGACATGCAACAAAATGGCTCCCAGAACTGAAGGACAAGAGCTACGAGGTGAGGTTAGAGGCATTAAATCATTCTATCTTCTAGCCAAAACTAGAAGATAGAAAAAGAGGCGATATGATCACTACATACAAAACAGTAATGGGAATTGATAAAATTGATATGGCAGAATTCCTGAGACCTGGAGCTTCAAGAGGTTATAGATTTAAACTAGGTAAACAAAGCTGCTAAAGAAATATAGGAAAATTCACTTTCGCAAACAGAGTGGTAGACAGTTGGAACAAGTTAGGCAAGGTGGTGGTGGTCGCCAAAACCGTCAGTAATTTCAAAGTGTTACATGACAAAGAGTGCTGGGAAGATGGGACACCATGAGTGTAGTTCTCATCCTGCAACTAGACTTAGGTAATTACACACAAGTCACATCAGCTTCAGGAGTTCTTAATAGACTACTGGAGACCAGAGGCCAAAACCTGCCCCCCCCCCTTCACAGATATGCAAAGAGCAGGGGATTCTTGATCATTCTCACTAAAGAAACAACCTCCAGAAGTGAAGCCAAATAGGCAACTGTATGGTTCACAGAAAGTAAATAAACATCTCTGCAAGCAATCTACCCAATGGGTACGGTACACCCTCCTTCCTCTCCAGTTACTACTGGTAGCTGCCGCTTCCACATAAACATTTCTGTCTGGAGCTGAAGAAAATCCTCAAAGGTAGTGAGGGATCCGGGATGCCACTGAAGCCCTGCCCCCTCCCCCCCACAGAAAGAGGCATTTCGTTACATTTAAAACTAGTTTTCTGGAGGAGTCAAATATTGGCTTCCTGTTTCAAACCACAGAGAAATTAAAAAATGGCACACACCAGAGGAGAGCCAAAATCAAACCCCCAAAAGGGAAAGATCAGGACAGGAAACCCCTAGCAAAGGCAACACAAGCCAGATGAGGACCTTGGACACTGACCAGATAACCAGCTGCCCTATCTTGAGGTAATCTTGAGATGATTTTGGGGCTTAGCATCCCCGCGGCCCGGTCCTTGACCAGGCCGCCTTTTTGTTATACATCCTCAGGAAGCAGTCCGTAGCAGCTTAATGCTAGGTGAACAGGGGGCATCAGGGTGAAAGAAACTGCCCATTTGTTTCTGCCTCCACTGGGGATCGAACCAGGAACCTCAGGACTACGAATCCCAAGTGCTGTCCACTCTGTTGTCAGGCCCCTAAGTTAGCCCCTAGCTCATTACCTGGTCTAACCCTGTTAGACCTCCAAAACCCTCAAGCCCAGATATCAGCCAAAGACAATTAGAAAAGACAGTGGCAAAGGCCATAAATTTCCAAACATCCTGAGCTTGAGGACAGATTGCAGACTTGATGACACTGCAGATGACTGGAGACAAGCTTTGGAACAAAGAACCAAGGAGACTGTTTCAAACAACATGTTCCCCTCAGCTCAGATCGTAAACAGGTAGTGATGAAAGGCTGCAACGTGACAACAAATTATGCATCCTAGCTAAATTAACCAAGAATCAATGAAGAAAGGACCCCATCAGAAGCCAACAGTCTTATATTTTTGCTAAAATAGGAGAGGACCGCAGAAGAGGTGATGTAGACCACAAGTTAGGTGGTTGACCATCTATCTATAAGGGTGTGAACATTGGGTGAAGGTGTAGACCATGGATGAGAGTGTAGTGAAAACCATATAAACATAATGTCTATGGGTGTCGGGATGAGTGATGACATAGGCCCTAATTGGCACCATATTTATACACGTAACTATCTACATTTTCTTGTAGCATTATGAACCACTAAGCATTTCTGGGGAGTGTAATAATCTTATACAGTAACTGGTTATCAGAATTCAGCCTAGTCAGACATTTTGCAACAAAATTCTAACAGCATGCATTTGAATATATAAGATTTTCTTTGTATTTTAAATGTGTTTACAGTGGATTTTCAAGTGCAATGTTGTATTGGACTGTCAATAATAATATTTGTGTCATAGAATGTGAAGAATATTGATACACAAAGATATATTTGGTTAACTATATAAGTTAAATATTATATTCTTTGAACAATAAAACATACAGCTTTTACTGTATATATTGTTAGGCACCTGCTTCCCTGGTGAGAAACCCCCTATTATGATGAGTACTGTCTCTGAAACCTAACTCAGAGACGTCCAAAGGTAACGACAAGGTAGAGGTGTGGAGATCACATAAAATAATAATAATAATAATAATAATAATAATAATAATTCTTTACATTGGGGCACAGGCAGCCAGTTTATACAGATAGAACATGTTAGGCTTGTATCAAGGTCCTCCCCCTCCCTCCCACAGGATCAAATTTCTGACCCTCCCCAGGATGCAACCCCATAACAAGCTGACTCTTGGGGTATTTACTCCTATTGGGTATTTACTGCTAGGTGGACAGGGGCATTAGGTGATAGGAAATGCACCAAACCATTTCTATCCTGCCTGGGATTCGAACTCGCAATTCTCGATTCCGAGTTGAGAACGAACCCAACTGTACTACCAGGACCCTACTTTTGTAGAGGAGGGGGGGGGGGGATGGGGAAATAGCTACTCTCTCTGCACCTGCAGGAAAGTTCTATGGTAGCTGCTTCAGTCAGATTGTGCGAAGATCTTTATCCAATGGCCTGTGGCAGATACTCACTGTTGCCTTTGCCCTGCTGTTTTTGGACACTCCTTATAGTTATCAGCATTTCCCACCCAGTCTCCTTTTGCTTCCTTAGTATCTTTACCATATTAATATTGGCACCTGGCTTGGGCTAGCTAAAGTATCATAACCTTTGGTCAAATCCAACCTCTTCCCAAGGACACCAAGGAAGGAGTAATGATAACTTATCAAGCTTCAAAACATTTACTGAAATGATTAATCATACACCACAGTCATCAGAATCACAAAAATAAATATTATCATATACTGTATATAATTGAAGTAGGAGGTCTACCTTAAATTAAATTTTCCATAGCTTCATCCGGCTTGCCTCCTGACAGCCTCGTCTGCAAAATTTGCACACAATTTCTCTGTCCTTCACACAATAAATAAGTATAATTCTTCTCGGCCAATATCTCATTTCGTCACAACTTAAGGTACATCTATTTAATCACATTCATAGTAAATAATAATTCCAACGAAGACATAAGAATCGATATCATAATTCAAAAACACAGTCTAGTCCCTACACTGCACCATTCACTCACTGGACAAATAAATCTACAAGTGCATAAATCTACACAAACTGTAAATATCTTATGAGGTAATATCCACCTTTGACATCCCTAGTCTAGGCTATTTTCTACATGCTGTTCTGCTCAAGTAATTATAAAATATAGGCTTGTATGGTGTCTACAGAATTATCTCATCAAACTATGCACAAATAAAATTCTTTTATCCCTCCAAATCTAATGTAGCTCAGCCACACTAAAAAAAAAAAAATCACACATCTATACCAAAGTTAATTCCTTAGCTCTCACACCTGGGTGGTGGCTTCTGGCATCTCCTCGGGTTGCTGGCTCAGTCCCTGTCCAATTTTTAAAGTGGCAATGTGTAGCTTTCCTAGTTGCTATTAGCCAGCTTTCAACAGCATAGACAACTGCATGACTGCCAATACGTATATATTACAATAAGCCCTGGAACTCGTATACACAACCCTGTGCCCTGGACTTCAGCTCATGGGATGCACCTCATTCATGATCCCTCAGAATACTGAATATATATCTCTTAAAACCACTGTCACTGTTACTTCATATAGGCTAGCCCTTAGCTGGCTGCCTGAGGCTTCAAGCACAATCCCCCCAAACTGATGCTCTACCTGGGCCAATCTTCTCACAATTGCCTGGGGCTCTAACTCTTGGCCCCTAAATTCTGCTTCTCAGGTTCTGAGAGATTGGTTCTCACAGGCTGTGCCATCTCAGTTACCATAGCAACTGGAGCCTCTAGCACACATAATCTATGGGATTTCCCCACATCTTGGCAGAAGAGAGTCTTTGTCTTCCTGAGGCCTCCTCACCACACAAGTCCCTCATTAACATCACAAAACACTTTCATACTTAACTCTGTTGACTGTTTATCTGGACCAAAAAAAGGCTTTTGATAACAAGTCCCACACAAGAGGCTGTTCTGGAAACTGGAAGATGCTGAAGGAGTGACAGGGAGACTTCTGACATTGATGAAAAATTTTCTAATGGACAGACAGATGAGGGCAGTAATCAGAGACAATGTATCTGAGTGGAGGAGTGTTACTAGTGGAGTACCATAGGGTTCAGTTCTTGTACCAGTAATGTTCATCGCCTACATAAACGACCTACCAGAAGGAATACAGAATTATATGAACATGTTTGCTGATGATGCAAAGATACTAGGAAAGGTTAGAAACTTAGACAATTGTCATGCCCTTCAAGAAGACCTGGATAAAATAAGTGTGTGGAGCACCACTTGGCAAATTGAATTTAATGTGAATAAATGCCATATTATGGAATGTGGAATAGGAGAATATAGACAACCTACAAATTGTGACTTTTTTTTTTAAATTCTGATAAAGAGATGTAGTGGTGGTTCTAGAGAGAAAACTATCACCTGAGGATCACATAAAGAACACTGTGCGAGGAGCCTATGCTATGTTTTCCAATTTCAGAATTGCTTTTAAACACTGACCATAGATGGTAAAATACTGAAGAAATTTTTCACGACCTTTGTGAGACCAAAGCTGGAATATGCATCAGTTGTATGGTGCTCATATCTTAAGAAGCACATCAACAAACTGGTAAAGGTGCAAAGACATGCAACTAAATGGCTCTTTGAATTGAAAGACAAGAGCTACGAGGAGAGGTTAGAGGCAATAAATGTGCCAAAACTAGAAGATAGAAGAAAAATTGGTGATATGACCACTATGTACAAAAAAGTAACGCGAATCGACAAAATAATAATTTTGATAGAGAATAATTCCAGAGACCTGGAACTTCAAGAACAAGAGGTCATTGATTTAAGCTAACTAAACAAAGCTGCTGAAGAAATGTGAGAAAATTCACTTTCGCAAACAGAGTGGTAGACGACAGGTAGAACAAATTGAGTGAGGTAGTCGTGGATGCCAAATCTATCAGTACAGTACTGTAGTTTCAAAACATTATATAACAGAGTGCTGGAAAGACAAGACAACATGAGCGTGGCTCTCGTCCTGTAATTATACTTAAATAATTACAGAGTAATTGGCAGTTTGCCACTCCAGTGGGAAAGTATCCAGAAAGTCAGCATAGCTTTACAGATTATTGGAGGGCTCACAGAAAATGAAGCCTCAAAACTGGCAAACAATGCAACAAATGATTCAAATGAAACAATGGATTCACTCAAAACTAGCTCGAACTCCTGCCATAGCATGCCTGTGAGGCATGCCACACCTGCAAACTTGTGCACCTAAGTGTGCATCTAAAGGAACAGACCTGACCATGAACTCTGACTTGCCTGGCGAGCGCAGGACATGAAACCCCAACCCAGGACTGAGGCATCTATGATCATACCAAGTGATAGGAGGATGGTGCTGCAGAACCAAACCCTGAAAAACCCAACTAGCAAGCCAGTGAAGCAAGAGCTGACAAAGGGAAGGCAGTGCCAGGAATGGCATAACTGGAGAAACTAGTATGTACAATAATAAGAATGAAACCCTGCCCAGCATGAAAACCATGCAGGCAGAGTTCTAGCTCTTTTGTGCAACCGCTCAACCAACCAATGAGTCATTTAAGGTCAATCCAACTTCCTGACTGATGAAGCTGTAGGCAGAGCAAAAACACCAGGGGTAGGGACAGCAACACCAACTGTGAGTCTCAAACAAGGCCCAGCCAAGTCTAAACCTAGGATGTAACCAAATGGGACTTCTGTCAGTTAACCAGGAACTGTTAACCAGTGAGTTGGGAAAGAACTAGATCCCTGGCCAACTGATGCACAGACTAACTTGGAACCCAAACCAGCCAGTCATTGAGGTAGGCGAACACATGGACCCCCATGAAACGTAGCTAGACCACAGTGACCCACACTTACCTGATAAAGAGATAGGGAGCCAGATTCAATCTGAAGGGAAGAACCCTAAAGTGATAAGCCTGATGCTTCACAATGAAACCTAACCATTCCCAAACCCTAGATGAGTAGGGTTTGGGGAATACGTATGCGTATTGGAATACATTCCAATAAGAGCTTCCAATAAGATTCCAAAATAGGGATACTCAGTATCCCTATTTTGGAATATTGGGGGCCAGTGAAGCTTTAAATCACACTGGCCAGAAAACTGACAATATTTTAAATGCTAGATATTTGATAGATCACAATCATTAGACTAGGTAATTGTCACTCGCTATTTGCACAGCCAATCCCCACTTGTCAAACTATTGCATAGGACAGTCAGGATGTATGTGAGGAGGGTATGAATCAGGAGCCCTGTAATAAATCAGGTGCTGTTGCCTGTATGGCTTTAATGAAATTATGCATCTTGTTTGTAAATGGTGAATTACATTTATCTAAGTTTCCAACTGGCCATCACAAATTCTGATAGGGATTGTGCTTGTGAATACATTTTCAGTATCAGTCTATTTTGGCTGGATGACAATGTTACAAGTGACTCCTTAAGCCCCATATATGACCCTGCAGGGATGCTATACCTGCTGTGGTGCAGATGCAGATATATTGCTTGCCTAATATAACCTTTGGGAGTAACAGAATGACAGCTCAGAAACAATTTGGTTGAAATTAAAAGATATGCCTATGAAGTATATCTAACAAACACGATAAAACTGTAAAGTATTCCTACCAGGGACACCTAATACTTAGGTGGAGTTTAAAATTTAAATGCATTACCTATCAATATATGATGATCTTATGGCACGCAGAAAATATTTAGTCTTCAGAAAACTAAAATCAATAAAAGTACCCAGCCATCAATGTTAAATTACTACAAACTACTGTATAAGGATTGGGGTGGTGCACTAAACTTCTAATAAGTGACAAAATAAAACATAAAACCTAGTGAACATATGAAAATCATCATATTCTCTGTGTGCTAAAACTTAATTTAAATAAATGTTTCAAACGGAACAAGTACCATGCTGGCGATGTAGAGAATGTTGAGGCTGAAGCTCAAGGTGATGAAGGAAGCGTGCCTTATGAGGGTATTCGTGACCTAGACACAACTCCTCAGAGGTGGTTATCACAGGCGGTAAACTGTGGCCTGGGGCCAACAGCTGCACTAGGTCCTCTGAGATGGAGTCAGTGTGTTTAGGGGAAGATGGAATAGATGAAGGTTCCAGAGCACTTAAGACACGTGCCCGACGCTCACACTGAGTCAGTTCAGTCTCTTGTGCACGGGCATGTGTTGTCAAACCCACTGTGTTCATGAATGTAATTTTCTGCAAGAAAAGTCTTAAATAAAATATGGAAAAATAAAAATGATACAGTATAATTTAATATTTAAATTTATAGAATACAGTAGAGTATTATTGAGATATGGGAAAATCTTCACTCATCTTCGTGACTAGCTTGTCGGTGTCACTTGATTAGACTCAAACATAACATCAAGTTAAATAGCCAAGTTACTATTATAATGAAATTAAATAATTGAAATAAGTCAGCTTCAACCCATAACTTAAGTACAGTACTTTCAAAGAGCAGCACTGAAAACTTGCTAAACTGTGCATTAAAAGTAATTAAATCATGCTGTTAGTAAGAGGCATTGAAATCATGTGATAATCTAAAGATGCTCATTTAAAGAAAGATATTAAATAATAAATATAAATTATTCTACAGTTATTCATATAAAAGCCAAATTCATGCATAACTAACCTCTTTTGAGGCATCTAGTGGAGCTGGAGGACCTTTTGTGCATACTAGCATGTTAGCTCTGGGTTTGGCCATTGCCTCTTCCTGAAGTACTTCCTCTGCTTCCTCAACCTCCAACCCGGCTTCTCTTAACTCTCTTAATCTACGTTCTTCTACATCCAAACGGCTAATTGAAGGCTCTGGTGGTGGTGGTGGTGGGGGAGGAGGAGGTGGAGGTGGAGGTGGTGGTGGTGGTGGTGGTGGGGGTGGTGGCGGTGGTGGTGGTGGAGATGGTGTTGAAGGTGGTTTGACAGATGCAGGTGAAGGGAGAATATGGTTGGGAATGGTTGTTGATACACTGTTACTGGACGCAACAGGTACAGGACTGCAGCTGGTCTTATCCAGCTGCACTGGTTGCCATACGCCTCGTGGTTCAACAACTTCTTTCTTAATCTCACTAGCAGGGATAAGTTCTCCATTTCCCACTATAACTCTGGTCTGCTGACTTATTATATTTTCACTAGTTTTTACAGTTTGAGGTACACTATTATTTTTTGTAATAGTCTGAGGTGTTTGAACAGATTCACTGGGTGTTGACTCAAAGGGCCTAACAATGGCTGGAGTGCGAGGCTTTCCTGAGGAACGAATAGTGTCTTTAGACATGTCCAGCTTATGTATAAGTGAGTCTTCTCTAGTACCAGTTGCTTGCGTATGAGTTTTGGTTTGTGTCTGAGCCTGAGCATGAACATGCCCCAAGAACGTCACATCGTTAATGGGTCTGAACATTACTGGGCTCCTTATGTTCAGGGGTTGTGCTATCTGCTGTGTTGCAACTCCTGAAAGTTTTTCATCAAAATATATATTGCACTTTTAAAAAACTTTATATGCATTACAGTTCTACAAGTTTGACTACTCTTTATGATGATAATATAGCCAAAAATTTAAGACATTGTTTAAATAAACATTCCTTCCTACCACTGATCATTTGTGTGTTTTTGCAAGTTAGCTTTGAATCATGTTTTTCCTGTTTTAAATACAGATACAGTACTATTGTTTGTTGTACACTCAGGGATATAATAGTGCCAAAGTGTACTGGCATCTGGAGCAGCAACCTGATCCTCCTTATTAATTAAGAATACTAAGCTTGTAGTGCTCTAGAATCTCTTGGATCCAGAAATATATCTTGGTTTTAACATTACAGGTACATGGAATAATTACTTTATTTGGTTGTTAAATCATCACCAAAATGAAGCTGTTACTTAGGTACAGTAATACTGTACCATATAATTACCTTGACACATTAAATGTTTCGTGCATGATAATGAACATGACATGGTTTAATTCTTCTCACATGCTTTAAACTAAGTTTTTTTTTACAAACATGTAAGTCGACATTCCAACTGAAAAAACTTGTTAGGTATTTTGTGTACTGTATTATGTAATATTGGTGTAGTTATCTTAGTAGCTTAGCAAGCCAATAATCCATGTTTTAATTCTCCCTGAGAAGTGTTGCTTCTTATTCAATTCAACCCATTTTGTGGAGTACAGTATAACATATCTGACGAGGGAGATGTAATCTCCTATGTCACTTGGTCTGTAATTGACTTATAAATTGCTAAACTTTTAATACCATTCATGCCAATGCACTGAATGGGGGAATCTCCCATTACAGTATTGGGAATCTAGTTCATAAAAGAAACATACTTTTGTACATTACACTGAGTGTATGAATGTCCAGAATGACATGCACATAAACAGTTAAATGATCTATGGTTAATGAACTGTAAGTTTCAACAGTTTATTCATAACATATCTTGCAATAATTGAAATTGATCACAGATACAGAAAGAATGCCTACCAATCGGCTGATTCTTGCGGCTGTGAGCATTGCTGGTGACAGTGACACTACTGGTGCTGAGTGTGGTAATAGGCACTGGACCACTACTACCAACACACTGAGTTATGGGGCTTCGATCTCTACTTCTTTCATGGCTCTGACTTCGCTCTAAAAATTTGGATAAAAAAAAGACTAGATTTAAAATTAACGAATTAATCAATTCATTTCAAATAAGTACAGTATTTCAAAATTTAATACAGTAATCCACAAGACTAATTACAGTCAAAAAAGCTTTTAGACATAAAATTTATAATATTTAAATAAAACACAGCCCATAGGATTAAAGGGCTATTTACCATCTGGATTGGGTGTTTGAGTGTGTGAATAAAACACAGTACAGTACCTCAAAGATAAGCAGACCAATTTTACTGAAGATTAGCCAATGAAAATATAGCTGGCTATAAAAAAAAAAGTTGTTTAATTTTTGAGAACTTAAAATATAGATTAAAGTCAAAGTGAATAAAGAAAGTACTGGACTAGTTTCAGCATAACTGGGTCACTAAATTCTGGGGAAAATCATCGAAGGTTTAGGTCACAAGGTCAGGTGATACTGTACTGATCTCATAAGCAAGTTTACAGTTCCTCTACATGAATGTAAGAATAGTTCCAATATTAAGCACAGTACTGTAATCCATGAATCATGAGGCCTTACCTTCTTTGATTCGATCAGGTTCATGGTGCTCCCGTTGTCGTTGTCTCTCTCGTTCCTTTTCACGTAATCTCTCTCTCTCTCTCTCACGCTCTCGTTCTTTTTCCTTATCACGTTCTCTCTCTCTTTCTCGTTCCTTTTCTCGTTCTCTCTCCCTTTCTTTTTCTCTTTCCCTTTCACGGTCTCTCTCTCTTTGTTGTTCCCTTTCTCTCTCTCTTTCGAGTTCTCTTTCTCTTCTCAGTTCTAGTTCATATTCACGTTGACGCATGTCCTCCTCCAGCTTTAACCTAAACAATTTTTGTATTATTAATGTAAACCATTGTTACACATGTGCAAGTAAGTGTGACATCCACTACACCGTAAACCAAGACAAGTAAAATTCTATTGACAAAATCAATAGGTATGGGAGAGTGCTGTGGTTTTGGACAGAGAAAGAAAACAGAAAATACCCCACCTGAATAATCAATGGTTTATTCAGCCTTTAGACTGATTCTCATTGTGTTATAATCAAATAACAGCAGACTATTTTTTTTTTTGCAGGTTCAAAGCACAATTTTCTAGATTTTTTTCTATGTGAAATTGGCATATGTCTTTAGCATTACAATCATAATTTAGTGTGCTTAATAAATATTGCTGGCCATATTTTGTACACATTTCACATGGTTAATATTCTGTATGAAAACTAGCGTACAGCAGTGTTCTCTTACCATATACCGAATATTGTACCATTAGTAATGTCAGACAAGAGTCTCTCGTTAATCTTACCATGTATATAATAATACTGGACTGTATGCAGGCAATGAGTCACAATAACGTATCTGGCCTCCTACCTCAGAAAGACAGACACATCCACTTTTATAGTTATACAGTACATCATTTTGTAATTATTAAGTAGGATAGGTTAGGTCTATAATCTAGTATTAGATTATCTGTGACAGGTTTACCAAAATATGACAAGACATGAGCAACAAGTGACATGACACAAGGTTATATTATAGGTCAATTCTTCTTACTTTTGGAAGTACCTTACAATAATGATGTACTATTCAATAAGTTTACATTTTTGGGGCAAATAAATTTGTATTCTAACCTCATATAAATATAAACATCACAGTACAATACTTTTGGAAAACAGTATACCTGTAGATGTAGTCTTTATACAATGTGTTACCCTAGATAAATATTTAGTATAAATTGTTTAAAATATAAATAATGCTTTATTAATAATTGTGATATAATACCTTATAATCTCTTGTCCAAATTCTTCCACTCTCTTTTCCATTAAGACCCCACTAGTGTGAGCTAGGAGGGAATTATCAGGGGAAAGTGCCAAGCCATGACAACTAGCAGTTGGAAGGGGGGTCAGGAAAAGGATTTGGGACAGGACGGGGAAAGGAATGGTGTCCAGCCACCTGGATGGTTGGGAATATAATGCCAACCTGCATGAAGCGAGATAGTCGCTCTACCGTCCTACCCAAGTGGTTGGGGAAATTTGTTGGGAGATAATTTATATAAGCTCATTTAAACATTTCTACTGCAATGATTTACTAGCATTAAATGTCACCGATAAAAGTAACCAAGAAATATAGCTACAGTATACCACAGCACAAGTCAAATGAGGGCCTTCATGGGTGTCCCTGCAGGACCTTCATAGCCCTACAATCAGATTCCCTCTTCAATAATTATTTCCAATCTTATCTACAATGTATTAATAATAATAATACTATTCAAATCTTCACTGACCTTTCATGAAGCAATGCAGAGGATGGATGAAGAGCGGCCAAAGAAGTAGGCAAGAGGTCAGGTGGGAACCGTGATGAGAGGTATGGGGAGCTGGCCGCCCCAGGATACATGCCAGAGAGACCACCAACACTGTAGGGACTCAGTGGTGGCCGAAGTAACCCGTAACGTTCTAGGTACAACTGCTCCTCCAGTCTATCAACATATGAAGAAGCTTAATTAGTGGGTATATACATGCATATACTTACATGTACAATATAAATATACTGTATATATATATATAAAATCATACTAATGGATTTTTCCTTATGAAATTTAGCAGATGTGCATTTCCCTTACCAACATGAAGCTATATCTTAAACAGAAAGGTAAAGGATTTCACAAACATTTCACTTCAAATTTCTTTATCATTCTTATCAAAGTATCTTTTGATAAGAATGATACTTTCTCAAAGTATCATTCTTACTTTTAAACTTCAATTATACACGCTTTCTTTATAAGGTCTTTGACTCCTAATACAATTTTATATAATAAAAAATACAAGTTAAACTCAACAGGAAAATTATTACATCCACAATTATTTCGTCCAAATATATACTGTTCTCTTTGTACTCATCATAAGCCACACACTCTCCATCCTGTGACCCACCCATCCCACGTGAGTTCCCCATCCAGTGTTCCACCCTATCCACATAAGTTTCCCAACCAGTTCCCCACCCTACTTATGTAAGTTACCCACCCAATGGCCCACTCCAACTGTTTTTATTTTGTGTAAGTGACCTTGCAGACGGAGTGCATTCATACATGTTAATGTTTGCAGATGATGCAAATACGGAGAGTAAGAACTGAAGAGGACTGTAGGGTGCTGCAAAGAACAAACTTCAAGAGTGGATAGATAAATGGCTGTTGGAGTTCAATGAAAAGACATGCAAAGTAATGAAAATGGATAAGGGAGACAGGAGATCTGTATTTAACTATACCATAAGGGGGAGTCAATTACAAGAAACAATAAGAGAAAAAGTCCTGGAAGTAGACGCAATCCCAACACTAACACCGGAAGCTCATATGAACAGGATAACATCAGCACCATATAGGAAATTAGCAAACATAGTAACATCATTTAAGAATCTAAACAATGAGGCTTTAAAGTTCATACATACTGCCTATGTGAGACCATTAGTCGAGTATGTAATTCCAGCATGAAACCCACACCTTGTGAAGCATAAACAAAACTTGAGAAAAATTCAGCAGCTTTCAACTCGATTAGTACCAGAATTGAAAGGCCTCGGCTATGAGGACAGGCTGAGAGAATTCAATCTCACAACCTAAGAGGAGAGAAGAAACAGGGGAGATATAATAACTACATACAAGATCTTGAGGGGAATGTATAAAATGGATAAAATAAGTAATTTAAATTATAAATTGGTGGGACAAGGGGACATCGTCCCCCCCTGTCGTGCATATGCAATCGAGTCAGAGATGTAAGAAAGTTCTTATTCCCTATATAGGTGGTAGGAAAGTGGAATTCATTGAAGGAAGATGAAGTTGAAACCAACTACATCCACAACTTTAAAATGAAATATGATTAAAATGTTAATACTGAGAGGTAATTAGCATGCCAGGTACAACCACCCAGGAGATAGGGCATAAAGAGCTAGATCTCAGTCACTTCCCCATAGTCACTGATACGAGTTCCACATCCAGTGCCCCATTCTACCCATGTGAGTGTTCCAGAGCAATGCCCCATGCTACCCATGTGAATTTCCCTAGAAATAGTCAAAACAAACTTTTGACTTCAAGGAAATGAAGGTAGTTATTCAACTTCATAAATCTCTGGTGCACCCTCTGTTATATTATTGTATAAATTTGAATGCAAGAATCATCTCAGAACTAAGTCGACTTTCATACCAGGAATGACTTAAGGCCACTGCTAACAATGCTGCAAACCATACATGACAGGGCTGATCTCATTGAAACTTTTAAAATATTGAACAATTTGGAGAATATTGCAGGCAAGGAGTCACAATAACGTGGCTGAAAAATGTTGACCAAACCACACACTAGAAAGTGAAGGGACGACGACGTTTTGGTCCGTCCTGGACCATTCTCAAGTCGATTGTGAATTCTCACAATAGACTTGAGAATGGTCCAGGACGGACCGAAACATCGTTGGAGAATGTTGATCAGTACAGTATTCAAAAAAAAAAAAAAAAAAATGTATGTCTTTAAAAGGTCAGATGTAACAAACAAGATCCAACAGTTTTAAGCTGAGCAAGCCACAATGTAGGACAGAAAAAAGGAAATGCTTTTTCACCCATAGTGTTAGAAACCAATTTAATTGCCTACCCGCCGAAGCCATAAATACTGAAACACTGCTGCAATCAAAATCCAGCTGGACAAAATCAAGACAAATGGGGAGGACCTTTGACAAGCTGCTGGTTTCCTATCCTCTTCAAGGCCACCAGTGAGATGATGCTCCTGAGGTAAATTCAGATAAATTCTGGTACAAGCAAATGTGAGAAGAGTCAAAGAAGCAGTGAATGAGTCTTTCATCCTCTGGGCTGTGGATTTTCAAAACAGCTAAGCTGTTCAAACTTACTGATTAACAGTTTAGATTATTGTACTTAGTGTTTTAACAAATAAAATAATTAAATCTAATCATTAAATTAAACAGGATTTAAATAAAACACTAGACAATTAATTTAAGATTAATCTAAACAATTGAATTACCCCCACTATGGAATTTTGTTACAGAAAATTTTAGTATACAGTCCATGTAATTCAATAAATAAAATAAATTAATGACAACCCCACAACAGTACTTTAACCATCTATGGATGTAAATATTAGGTCAATTTCCTGGTGTGCATAACAAATTATTTGTACTGTACATTATAAAGCATTGCCTGCTGATGTCAGGAAAAATACAAAAAGCATTCCGCTCATTTTAATTTGGCAGTAAAGTGGTGAAGAAATGTTAATGATGATATATACCAAGGGCTAATTTTCAGGTTAACTATTTGTATTAGATTTCTGCTCATCACTAAGATCTTTCATATCTATAAAAGTCCTTGAAATTTTACATAGCATCAATAATGTCTAGCACTAGAATCAGTGAATGGGTGATGATGCACCTGACATAGTACTCCTCTCTTTACTAAGGCCCAGGAAAGAAACAAAGGTTTTCAGAATTTTGTTCAAAATGGCAAAAGACTGCCCGAGGTCTATAGTGTCGAATGACATCCACATATTTTTTATGGGTCTTTTGAATAAAATAAGGCACATCTAGTCTCCCACAACCGATAGGTGCACGAGTGCCCTATTGCTTGAGGGCGACAGTTTAACCTTAAACAGCTCAAATCACTACATGTATCTCCAAATACTTATTGTGCTTGAATCATTAAATGTAATTTTTGGCCCTTAGTTTCTTAACTATTTTTGTCATTGCACACCACAATGTAGGACTCAATTAGGTGATCCTTTTAAAGGTTAACGAAATACAGTACACATTTGTCATAAATGCGAGATGTTTAAGCTTGGGATAAAATTTGTTGTAATGTGAAATTATTCGTGTAACATACACATGAATGCAAATTTTAACACTACACTTTGAAAGACAAGTTCATTTTCGAATACGCAAGATAAACTCCTTAGGTATTAATGTTAATGGGGCTTTTTGTACTATAACTGCCATGTCCTAAAGTTTGTACACCTTCTCCTCTCTCTCTGGGTCCTGCTTCCATCACCACCACCTGTCATCACCTACCACTGTTCATCTTTTCCTACCACCACATATCATTACCTACTACCATTCGTCACCTACCACCTCCACCTCTCAACGCTACCTACTACCAATATCATCACTTACCAACATTCATCAGCACCTATCACAACCCATAACCAACACCATTATCATTATACTGTAGTGTGTATCAAAAAACACAGATGTGATACGAACAGATGTAAGCACATTAAATAAAATGTTGTAGTAGTTTTTTTATTATCAGGGAAAAGCGCCAAGCAATTACGACTTTATAGCACTTGGAAGGGGTCAGGATAAAGATTTGGGATGGGACGGGGAGAAGGAATGGTGCCCAAGCACTTGGACGGTCGGGGATTGAACGCCGACCTGCATGAAGCGAGACCGCTGCTCTACCATCTAGTCAAAGTGATTGGACCGTTGCAGTAGTAGTATAGTACTGTATTATTTCAACAAAATTATTCACAAAAATCTAGATATGAAGCTAAGAATGTAAATTATTATAAGGCTTATTTAAGAATATTATTATAGCTTAAAACAATAGAACTTAGAAAATGTTCAGCATTTCATATCAAACACTTTTCCTGCAACACAAGTACAATGCCAGATAGATTACAAACCTGTACTGGTGAGCTAAATGGTGAGGGTAGAGTGAAGGGTGGTATGCAGGGTATGAATGAGGAAGATCTAGTGGAGACATTGGAGGTCGTAGAGATGCTCCAGGTGTGGCCGAAGGAGGTGTGGCTTGGACATCTGGGGCACGGTAGGGTTGGAAACCCCTCACTAACTCTTCATTGACACCGGATCCACGTTCTGCCTCAGTGGTAGTAACATGGGAGTGGTTTGGTGCAATAGTAACAACAGGTGGTGCAGACCCCGCAGATAAACTTATATGTCCTGTCGTAGACGGTGTGAGGACTGAAACCTTAGGAGAGAGTCTCTGGGGCTCTCCTGATAATGAACCATCCTTCTCTGTGCCTGTAGTGGGTGAAATGTGTTGTGTACTACATCAGATTTGCATTGGCATTTTGTTTTATAATACAGTATACAATACTAAAACCTTGTATAAGATTATGACATAATTTATTTTCAATTACAATACAGCAGTATTTCCAGGACTGACAAAAGGTGGATATAGCATTCCAAAGGTAACACTGAAAGGCAAGCCTCAGTGATGTTATATCTGAGGCCAGGATATAGCCATATACCTTACCTAATTCATTAATTCATTCATTATCTCTAGGAAAAAGAGATTATCTCTCTAAGAAAAGAGATTGGGCCTATTCCTACATCGCCTATTCAACAACAACACGTTTGCATATTCAACGACAACATGTTCTCAGAAGCCATGTCTAGACGAGCCTCTACCACCCTACCTATCCCATACCTGTGACCTTGACACACCTGGGAGTCACCCTACTCGCTGGTTAACAAGCACATTGCTCGTTTATACCTGCCTGCTTCCAATTATCGGCACACCAGCACCACCTACGCAGCCAAACCCGTGTATATAAGGAGCCCACCAGCCACTAGTCCTTCAGAATACTCTCCAGTGCTCAACCTGCCTACATCTGCTCTCACACTACTCTGTGTGGTGGTAGATATATGCAGTATTGTACATAGTATTCCAGCACCAATTATTTTGATCTTTAACATAATGTTAACTTGTTTGTTTGCTTTTCATTTATGCACTGTATTATTAAGCCAAGTCATAGAGGAACTATTTTTATTTCATGTAAATTGTTAGTCATTTTTTGTCATAGTAAAGTATTTAAATTTTTATTCTTTGTAATTTATCCTACAGCTACCACACAGTGAAGAGATCTACATAGCAGTTTTATTTACTTTGTTTTTACTTTTTTTTTGTTTAATGTGAGTGGCATTCCATCTGCCCTAATACACACACACACACACACACACACACACTGTATATAAGTTCTTACATTCTTGTAAAGCCACTAGCGCACACAGCTTTTCAGGCAGGTCTTTAATCCTAATTTTCCCAGAATATGACCCACCAAATCGTTTAACAACCAGGTACCCATTCACTGCTGGGTGAACAGAGACTGCAGTCAAGAATTGGCACCCAGTCAATTGTCCCTGGCAAGGATACGAATCCAGGCCAAAGCACTTGTGAAGCGCCAGGCGAGTGCTTTACCACTGCACCATAGGGACTGATTGAATGTTCCTCAATAATATGATATTAACATGTACCAAATTCAGTTAACATGTGTTCACTTAAAATATTGTACAGCTTGCACTTAATATACTAAACTACTATAATGCTGTATAATGGTTACATTTGGGAATAGTATCTACAATGGATTTTACCACTATGTTTATTTACCTGAGAGGGCACCATCTCACCATCTTACCTGAGAGGGCCTTGACAGGTGCAGGACGACAGTAGCTTGTTAAAGGTCCCCCCCACCCCCCCTTTTTTTACTGAGGATTTTTTCCAATTGGATTTTGAACTGCTGTAATATGCATAAACTATAAATGCACACAGATACAGTACACAATTTAATTATAGTCAACTAACCAGGGGGAGCTGTGGCTTGTTTGGCAAGGGATCGAAGCGCTGCTGCAAAGGAAGATGAGGATGTAGGTGAGGGAGCCCTTGCACCAGCTGTTGTTGTCAGAGGTGCCAGAGATGTGCTCAGTCCCAGAGGTGGCACTGTAGCAGTTGTTCTCACGCCCTTATTACTTAGTGCCACACCATCACTACTCATGACAATGCTGTTGCTGCAGCTACTGCTGCTAACACTGCTGGCACTGCTCACTCCAGCTGCTGCTGCCGCTGCTGCTACAGCAGCGGCAGCAGCAGAACCTGGTGGTAGAAGGTGAGGCGGAAGGCTGGGAGGTTTACCACCAACACCTGCAAAAAAAAAAAAGATAAACATAAACTTCATCATCTAAATAAACTAGGAACACTTTGGGCTCACCAAAACTGTACTCAGCCATTCACAGAAAGTATAGGTAGTTTCAGTTCTAAACATTAATAGAGAAATTCTAGTACAGGTACATGTAGGTCTACCGTACTTGACAATCCCTCACAGAAATATGTGCACAATAGCCAAGGCAAATGGTTAGGTTGAGGGAAGCATAATTGGAACTTTGTGCCTGATCAACAGCTTGTAGTTACATTACAATGAGGATTTTTTTGCTTGATTACGAATGGAATAAAAACAAGGCATTTCAAAGTTCACAACAGCTAAGCAGAACAATAACCTAGGACTACCATACATCCTTTTGAAAATACTGTACATCCATTTACCACACATCAAATGAAAATGTTATTACCGTATAATTTATTTTATCTAATCAGCCAACTGAAAAATATGTAACTATAAAAAATTGGATGGGGCACATTAATGTATCTCTAATTAAATGCAAAACTTTGTAAAAAAATAATCTTAACTCATTTAGGCTGAAAATTAACTGGTTTATCAGACTCATTGGCTGAAAATAAAAAATGACATTCTGGGACTGGTGGTATTTTATTGCTGGCAGACAATATCCATTTGTTGGTGAAATTTCTTAGCGGAACCTCTGGAAAAGGTATAAATCCACGAAGAATAACATAGATTATGAGATATACAGAAGGGCATTAAATTTAGCCTCCTAGGAAATCAGATCAGCCAAAAGAAACTATGAAAGAAAACTTGCTTAAACTGGGCTTATATAAGTAGTAAAACCAAAACAAAAGACATTGAATTAATACTTTACATCAGTGTTCACATCCGAGAGATCAGACAATATCACATTACCCACACAAATGTGTGAAGGAGGTGAAGAGAACGAATTATGGGGTACTGTATTTCCATAACGTATGACAATCAGGAAGAACAATGACAAACTAAAATACTGTACTCAAAAGCCCCAGGTGTTTACTTTATTTATTTATTTATATACATTTTGGGTATATTGGGTTGTGAGACTACATAACATTGGTGTTTGAGTGTTACAGTCTTGCAAAGCCACTAACACATACACAGCATTTCCAGCAGGTTCTTAATCTGTGTATGGTGCTTAATCTAAGGTGTGGACGGAATTCAATCCAAATTCGTGATGGAACTGGCAGATGCACTATGCCTACCACTGAAACTCCTTTTCAGAAAATCTTTCGATCAAGGGATAGTTCCCCTAGATTGGATATGTGCAAATGTCATAATCTATTTAAAAAAAAGGCAGAAAGAGCTCAGCAGAAAACTACCATCTGATTAGCTTGATCTCTCACACTTGCAAGCTCACGGAGAGAAGAACACCCAGCGCATAGGTTCGAATCCTCATCACGCCTTCTGTGGATTTTCTTACAAATGCAAGACCTTGCATGTGGGACATAACAATGCATGTCACAATTACCAAATTAATATTACATTGCAGCAGATTGATGAAAAAGGACCTTGGAGTCAGAATCCACCATTCACTGAAACTTTCACAACAAGTGGGAGCTACAGTAAAAAAAAAAAACTAACCAAACCCTAAGAATAATCAAGTGAACCATTGACTTCAAGGAAAAGAAGGTAGTTATTCAACTGTATAAATCTCTGATGCATTCCCACTTGGATTATTTTATCTAAGCATGAAGATTATATCTTCAGAAAAACATAGCTGCTTTGGAAAAAGTTCAACACCGGGCAACAAAACACATTCCAGAGCCAAGTCAACTCTCATGCCATGAACAGTTATGGGGCTAACACTGTAAACTAGACTTGACAGGGCTGATCTCATTGAAACTTAAAATACTGAACAATTTGGAGGACACTGATCCAGACAACTTCTATAAAAGGTCACATGTAACAAACGATGAGCAACGGTTTCAAGCTGATCAAGCCACAATTTAGAACTGAGAACAGATGCTTTTTCACCCATAGGGTTATAAACCCATTGAATTACCTATCACCAAATCAGCGTAATTATGGTGTTATCAACGAATGATGACTCACAGTGACACAAAACTGATTGTATTGCTGTAGCTTCAACGAGGACGAGAAAGACAGTACTTTGTGGGACCAAGCTTCTTTTGTACAATTTAATATGATGGTTTTGGTGTCCATAATGGTGGATGGCCTTGGCAGTGGTGGTGCCAATAATGATACTGATGGTGTATGATGATGATTCAACCTGTCCTCTTACAAAGAACGTCGCATTTCGATCGTATGCGTTACAAAAATTGTCGTACTAGAAAATGGAAGCGGCTGGCGAAAGTGACGTACTGTCCCGTTTCCTGTTTTGGGTCCTCTGGTAGGTTAGAAGACACTTTAATTTATTTTCTTGACGTTGGGAAACTTTAGGAGGACGGGCTGGAAGATGATGGTAGACAAAACAAAGGTATTTTACCTAGCAATATAATATTTAACATTCCAGTAGTAACAACTGGTCAAAATGTGTATTAGTGTATTTATTTCAGTATCATAAATCTTAATGCTATATTTTATAGGCAACATAAAAGCACTCTTAATTAAATTACAGTACTTGGATTATGTTTTGTAATAACAATTATTAAATATTTTTAAGGTATATTGTGGAAAATGGAATTACCATATTAAATAAAATTAATTGTATTGAATTCTGAAAGTTAGGTATAGTATATGGAATGTGATGATAATTCTTTGCTGGAAATAGAATGACACAAAGAAAATATATGCAATAATTCCTATAAGGCTGTTGATGAATATTCTTCAGCAAACTTTTTCTACACAATATCCATCAACATCTACAGCAACTGAATCGTAGTGTCATTCAATTCAAATCATTATTCTTTTTTCGTAAATATTATAACATAATTACGATGTAATAGCATAGCTAACCTCTGCACAGGGTAATAAACCCATCAGAGAACACTGCATGAACATCAGAGGTCCACGGCTGTTCAACATACTCCCAGTGAGCACAAGATATATTCCCGGAACAAAAGTGGAGGACTAAGAGAAAACTAAATAGTTTTCTTCAAGAAGTGCCAGACCAACCGGGCTGTGGTGGGTAAATGGGCCTGCAGGCTGCTCACGCAACAGCCTGTTGGACCAAGCTCTCACAAGTTGAGCCTGGCCTCGGGCCGGGCTTGGGGAGTAGAACTACTACGAGAACCTAAGCAAGGTATGAACAAAATAAATGCTTCTTCAAGATGTAAAGATGCCTACAGCATCTCTACTCTTAATTTAACTGACTTTATTCTGCAGTTCCTTCCGTATCTTTTACTCCAGTATGTTGTTATTCTACTGTGCAACTTTGGGACCTGGCCCTCCAGTATCTTCACCAGAAATACGCAGTTTTGGATGAACATAGTCCATACAACAAGCGAGACATAAATATACACAAACTGTGAATCAAATACGAAAATACTGAACAAATACACAAACGTCCCTCTGCCATACAAAGAACTGTGCCCAGAATGGCCAACTTTTATCTGAAAAACGGGATTCTGAGAGTACTGCAGCAGGAATGAGGAATGTTACAGCAAGTTTTATACAGTTATGCAGGGCCAATTGACTGGTGTGTTAAAGCTATGGGATCAAGGAGGACTGTATAATCCCCTGGTGATGCGCAGGTGAAATAACTAGTGAAATGCTTCATGATTGGATGGTTCCTTTGTTTTGGGCGTTCGGTCTCATTTTCTAGGCTTTGTTTACCATGTTGAATGTATGTTTTGGCTCGTAAATTTTTCTGGTGGGACTCCTGGTTCAACCTTGGTGGCGTGCGGACTTCTAAATACCTGCTCTGTCTGGGACTGCTTGAACAATTGACACGATTTTACCAACTGGGTCTCAGTACTGCCGTCAAGTTCAAGTATGTTTATTGAGACAAGAAAATACATCTCAAAGAGATAGAGTAGCTTAGACAGGCGTTTCACTTCAACGGCCTAGTTGGATATGAAACCTGGTCAGTCATCGCTTGGGAAGTTGATAGATTTTCTGTTTTCCTGTTGGTTCTTCAGTCGGAGAAACTGTGTCCGGAGCTAGGTGTGCTGAGAGGTGCTGGGAGTTGGAGGGTCTTGCTTAGCTCCTCATGTGCCCTTGGGGCTTGGTGGGCTCTTGCTCTGCTGGAGGTCACTTGCAGACATTTTTGCACATTAGCCCATTTAGATACAAGTTTAGGATGGGCCTTCGTGCTTGTTTCGCTACCCTGTGTTTTCTGTGTGGGCTTCAGGGCTGGTGCTTCCCTCCCTCCGGTTTTCTCGGCCTTCCCAAATACACTGGTTGGCTATATACACACTACTGACAGGCAATGTGTGTATATATAACCGTTTTATTTTACTCTTTACTAATGCATTTTACTCTTTAAGGCATGCCAGGGCACATCCAGCACTACTACCATCGTAACCCATAAATCAAACACCTTTCAGGTTTCCTTTTCTTGGTCAGGGTGTTGGTCGCTCATCTAATGGCCCCCGTTTCTTGTGCCTGCGTGAGGGGGAGGGGGGCAGGTTTTGACCTATGGTCCCTGGCAGGCTTATAGTGACTCGCAAAGGCCTGGTATGGATTGAGTTTGGTTGAGTTATCCAGATTGCTAGCTCAAGAGACCACCATAAGAGCCCCCCACTCCCAAAAAAGTGATATTTTAACTTTCAAGGTTGTATACTGTAAGCAAGTCTTCCTGGCTTGGTGCATTTTTTAAATAATTACTTCCAATACAAAATATAGAATGCGAAAATAATTGTCAGAGAAACTCAAGCTATTTTTGTATCAAAACGTTTATTGTTATGGTATTCATGTATCTTAAAAGGTGATTTGAAATGTTTACCATACACTGAAATACATTTCACTGGTTTTCTTTGTTCATTAAAAACATAAAACCATAAACATTTTATTTAGGCAAAAGTACACACACACACACACACACACACACACACACACACACACACACACACACACACACACACAGAGCAAACACGCAGATTGTTGGACTCGCAGGTAGGCACTTACGTCGCCTGAAGCCACTAATACCCACAATGTTTCCAGCATTAGATGTGAATATATTATTTCAATAAAATTATTGTCAGCCTTTATTCTGGCAAGGTTAGGCCATGACTCCTATTGGCTATGACGACATTAATAATATATAAACAGCTTCGAGAATCAGCAAGAAGTGCCTACACTGCAGAAACAGCAATGCCATTCAACTAGACATCTGCATCCTGGTTCTGCAGCACCCGACGTCACATCCAGCAGCACCAGACGTCACATCCAGCAGCACCAGACGTCACATACAGCAGCACCAGACGTCACATACAGCAGCACCCGACGTCACATACAGCAGCACCCGACGTCACATACAGCAGCACCCGACGTCACATACAGCACCCGACGTCACATACAACACCCGACGTCACATCCAGCAGCACCAGACGTCACATACAGCACCCGACGTCACATCCAGCAGCACCAGACGTCACATACAGCACCCGACGTCACATCCAACAACACCTATCGAGTCTGCCTTTCACCAACCAATTAGGAGAAGATGATGCCACCAGCAGATCGATTGTCGCAGGAAGAAAACAAATGAGGTCTTTACTTTCCCGGGACAGGAATGTTGAGCCAGCGGTGACGCCGCTGCTGCAGCAGGAGGAAGAGGGGGATTTTGACGAAGTAGGGAAGCGGAGGGGAGTTAACAGGAAGCCAAGAATGTGGGAGAAGACAATGATCAACAAAGAGAGAGGTAGTTACGTGAGCAGCTTGGCGAAGTGCTGCCCGCATATACGTGGTTGGTACCATCTTCCCTCGCCTGCAGGGGGCGAGGGTGGTGGTGGTGGTGTGTGTGGAGAGGCCCGCTCAGCAGCTCAACACCTCCATAACGAACGTCGGCCGGGGAGGTGGAGGAATGGCCCAGCAGGTGGAACAAGTGCTTCAGCACGTCAACAGACATCCCTACAAGCGTAAAAAACAAATGTCTTAAAAAGCTGAAGAACGTCTCAGCAGCTGAAAGGATAAATGGGCGAGAGAACACATCAATAAACAAGGAATAGCCTTTAAACGAGTCGATAACGCCCTCTCGAGTTAAGTTTGGGCAGCTGGTTATCTACATACACGAATTATTAAGGACAAGAACAGGGTAGAAAATTCAAGCACTCTTAACAATTCTTTCATACATATTAGTCGTGAGGTGCTATTCCCCCGCACATAAACACATAACTCCAAACTTGAAATCTGAACACATCTCACAGCCGTACTGGTCATAACAAAGGCTACCGATTCTAGTCCGCTCATCAAGCAACTTGTTATACATCATGAAGATATGATAGGGTGGTATGAGGGGCTTACCTAACAGTTAGTTACTATGGGGGTGGTGAGGTCTAGCTCCTTATACCCCCGCGGCCCGCCTGCTCTCCTCCATGAACCTGTTGCATTTTAATTTAATTTTATTTGATTTTTTTGTTTTCAAATCTGGCCTTAAAGTTATGGATGGAGGTGGCTTTCACATCTTATTCCAGAACATTCCACTTGTTTATTATTAGTATTATTATTATTATCATCATCATCATTACTGACAAAGTTGTTGACCACCCGTACGGGGTACGAGTATTAACGTACATTTCTTGTCACATTTCCGTTTCCAGTTTCCACTTAAGTCCTCTTGTCTTTTTCTTAATTTAAAAAAATTACTTGTTCATACTGTCTATTTCCCTCTGCATCTTGCATTTAGTGATCAAATTCCATGTATTCCTTCTCTATTCTAGCGTTGTGAGGTTTTGCTCCCTTAAGCTAACTTCGTAGCCTAATCTTTTCAATTCTTGCACTAACTTTGTAGAAATCTCTGTACTTTTGTCTTTTTTTTATGCTACGCAAGGTGTGGATATCAGGCCGGTGCTGCACATTCTATCATAGGCTGTATAGAATGTATTTGTTGTTTAAATTCTGGTCTAATGTTTGCCAGGTTCGCATGTCAATGTTATTTTACTTGCATACGGCTCCTGGTGTTGGGCTCAGTGTTGGTATTATATAATTTCCGATTCCAGTAGTATTTCCCCGCTTGGTGTAGATCCAGAAAAACGATCTACACCAAACGGAGAAAGGAGATTATCTGGTGTTTCTCCTGTTCCCATCTTTATCACCTACCTTACTCTTGCTGGGGTTGAATAACCATTTGTCTGCCCACTCCGAGTTTATCAAGGTCTTCTTGTAATTTTCTGCAGTCCTCTCTCTGTACAGTCTTCATCAGCTTTGCGTCATCTGTAAACATTGACATGTACGAGTTCACTCACTCTGGGTAGATCATTTGCATTAACTAGGAAGAGCAGTGGTTCCAGTACCGCAACCCGTCCTAGACTCAAGTCCATTCCATCCAGCGGTCGACCCCCACAGGCGCATTCATAAATTTTAACATTTTTAATTCAAAAGAGGAATTTTTTGAAATATAAATTAATATTATAATATATTAGCATATTGCGCAAATATAGGCATAGGTTATGTTAGGTGTTTAGGTTCTGTTGGCGATTATTTGTATTTGTAGTACGTGAGTGAAGCATTTACAGAGTTGTGGTTCGAACAAAATTCGTCAGTGAAGCACTTGTTCCGGAAAAGTTCGAACGATATCAGTTGAGTCGTGTGTAAACCGTTTTTCATTCATAAACAGAAGGTTTGGCGGGTGCATGGAATCATTTTTGGGTCTTTGTTTGGAGGACGGGCTGTGTTACAATTATCCAGCTCGACAGACTGGAACTCTGCCTTTTGTCGGTCAAGAACTCCCTAACCCAGTTCAGAGTTTCTCAAGTTATTCCAGCATATTTCTCCATGCTGGAACAATGTTAAATGGTTCTTTGATAATCTAGGAAGATAGTCTACTCAGCCTTCTTTTTCCCTTGTATTTAGTAATCTTACCTGATTTACCTGGAGAGGGTCTCTGAAGTAGTTCTACTCCCCGAGCCCGGCTCGACTTGTGATAACTTGGTCCAACAGGTAATTGGTAGTCTTGTCACAGAACTTTATCAACTTCTTTTGACATGACTTTCCCTCTGAATTCCAGTTGCTATTCCGTTACAAAGTGTATCCTTTCCAGGGGTTCTATTATTCTCATCTTGAGGTTACCTTGAGATGATTTCGGGGCTTTAGTGTCCCTGCGGCCCGGTCCTCGACCAGGCCTCCACCCCCAGGAAGCAGCCCGTGACAGCTGACTAACACCCAGGTACCTATTTTACTGCTAGGTAACAGGGGCATGGGGTGAAAGAAACTCTGCCCATTGTTTCTCGCCGGCGCCCGGGATCGAACCTGGGACCACAGGATCACAAGTCCAGTGTGCTGTCCGCTCGGCCGACCGGCTCCCCCAGTCGCAGTCGCAGCTCCTCTCATCCTGACTACTTTTTGCAGCACTACACAATAGTTGTCAGTGGCACGGGTCTATAATTTAGTACCTCATATCTGCCCTCTGTTTATATATTGGAACTTCACGTCTTTTTCCGAATTTCTGGGGGGGGGGGGGGGAAGGGGACCTGTGTCAAGTGTTGTGCTGATAAGTTTATTTAGCAAATGCCAAACCACTTCTGCTGCCTCGTTCAGCAGCCACTGTGATATTAAATCTGGTCCTGTATATCATCAATAGTCATTACTATTTTACCTACTGTTTCTTCTAACCACTTTTCGTCTCGCAACCTTGAGTCCACAGTGCCTTTATGAAGACTCTTGAAACTCTAGTCAAGTTTCTCTTAACCATTTTTGTTTTCGAATTTCTTAAAGACTTCCTCCTTGTCTCCTCTCCTTGATTACATGGTCTCCTATTGTTCTTGATCTCCTAATATGGCTATACAACAGCACTCTTTGTTTCTTAGCTTCTTAGCACTATGTCGTTTTATAATTGGCCCTCAGCTTCCCTGCTGACTTGGTGTACTCCCTAGTTCCTCTATAGTCCCCTGTGTTTGGTTCCATTGTTTTGTTTTCACTTGTTTTCTCTCCCATCATTGCCTATCGATCCAAGGGTTCTCTTCCTGTAGTCTCCACATACGTAATATTGAACCTTACATAATATGTTCGTGGTCTGACTTCCTCCTTTTGCTCCATTATGTATTTGAAGACAACTGGTACACAGAGGCGGCGGTGGGTGCCCTTGTTCTTGGTGGTGCTGAGGTGTCTTGCATCAAGATATGCTTGCTGGGTCCAAGAGTCCGTATTACGCCAGGCACGCGGGGTCTCTCTTTATACACCTAGCCCATTATTTTATTGGTAAGGTGTGAGGCAGTGGTGTGTTGTGGGTGGTGGTGTGAGGCAGTACTTGTGGGTGTTGTAGGTGGTGGTGTGAGGCAGTACTTGTGGGTGGTGGTGTGAGGCAGTACTTGTGGGTGTTGTAGGTGGTGGTGTGAGGCAGTACTTGTGGGTGTTGTGGGTGGTGGTGTGAGGCAGTACTTGTGGGTGGTGGTGTGAGGCAGTGGTGTGTTGTGGGTGGTGGTGTGAGGCAGTACTTGTGGGTGTTGTGGGTGGTGGTGTGAGGCAGTACTTGTGGGTGTTGTGGGTGGTGGTGTGAGGCAGTACTTGTGGGTGGTGGTGTGAGGCAGTGGTGTGTTGTGGGTGGTGGTGTGAGGCAGTACTTGTGGGTGTTGTGGGTGGTGGTGTGAGGCAGTACTTGTGGGTGGTGGTGTGAGGCAGTGGTGTGTTGTGGGTGGTGGTGTGAGGCAGTACTTGTGGGTGTTGTGGGTGGTGGTGTGAGGCAGTACTGCATTATAATTTAATTTAAATATTTTGACGTTCGAATTCTTTGTCGAATCTGGCCTTAAAGTTGTGGATGGAGGTGGCTTCCACAACTTCTTCCTTCAGTGCATTTCACTTACTGGATACTCTTATAGGGCATTTATATACATTTGCATGTAAGTGGGCGTAGTTAGGACGTGGTGGCAGGGTGCAGTAGCGTTGAGTGGCGCTGGTTGGCAGTCGGTGATGCAATTGTGTTGTAATGGTGGCGGGTGCTGCGGTCAACATGATCACTCGTACTCTCATCATTTCAATAGAACCCTCATCATAATGTTCACCCACATAGTACCAGTGACACTGTCGAGCCCGCTCCCACCCCAACCAGTCCTCCCAACCCGTCCTCCCAACCCGTCCTCCCTACCCGTCCTCCCTACCCGTCCTCCCAACCCGTCCCCCCAACCCGTCCTCCCAACCCGTCCTCCCTACCCGTCCTCCCTACCCGTCCCCCCACCCCGTCCCCCAACCCGTCCTCCCAACCCGTCCCCCCAACCCGTCCTCCCAACCCGTCCTCCCTACCCGTCCTCCCAACCCGTCCTCCCATTTTGACGCGCTCTTTACCCAAGGCCAAAACTGTCGTACTGGAAAATGGCAGCGGCTCGCGAAATTGACAATGTCCCGTTTTCTGTTGGCAGGTCCTGTGGTAGGTTAAGACAAGGCACGTTCTCTGGCCTGGTCACAATTGTGTGCTGGTGCCCTCATACACGGGATCAGATTTGTTCAGAAATTGCAACTTTACCTTCACATTAATTAAATAATAGACACGAAAGGGAAGCAACAAATAATCTAGTCAAAAGAATCTTGAATGAGGGTTGAGAACATATATTTGTATTATGAACGAACACAACACAATCATTGACATAAAATATTGGGAAGTTAAATAGACAATTAAGATAAAATTTGCTTCATAGGAGGCCACAAAAAATATAATTGAAATACTGTTTCTTATACAATTTGTAAAATACACGTTTTTCGTTTCATTGATGGTAATATCGCAGAAAATCTTGAAACGAGAAGAAATTCAATAAATTATCACTTCAGTGCAAAATAATAAAGACAATTATATCTCCCACAAAAAACCTATTTAGCTCCAACTTCGCCAGTTAAATGAAAGAGAACAACAAGATATTAAAGCAAATAATAGTTTACCGTACAGGTGTGACGAGGGCGGCCCGTCACCATACACGTGTGACGAGGACGGCCCGTCAC